TTTGTATTTTGGCTTGTATTTCCAAGATCTAAGCCACTTATCATAGACTTGAGCTCCCTCATGTTCTTCACATTCAAATGGCTAAGACGACGATGCTATATATTCAACTTATCTTGGTTTGATGTAAATTTAGCAAATGTAGCTACCTTCACTCCATTCACCTTCTTACAAATGAGGTAGTACAAATTTCCCTCTCTAAAGCCTTTGAAGACCTTGTCTCCACTCAATGTTCTTACAAAACATCCATTCATATCAAATTAAACTTTAAAACCTTCTTTTACAAGTTTACTCACTGAAAGTAAGTTTTGCTTCATCTTAGGCACATGAAGGACGTTTTTGAGTCTGATCCTATTGGTTTGTCCATTCACAACCACTTCCACCATAATAGAGCCAATTCCAATGGCTTCACATGTATTACTATCTACCAACACCACGTTTGATGTTGGAATAGCCTCATAAGTATCAAATGAATACTTATAAGATATCATATGCTTGGAACAACCTGACTCCACAATCCATCTTGACATGGCAGTCGTAGAGATTCTATTTCTTGTCGTGAATACATAATCTTATCCTCCAAACTCATCTTGCACACTAATTGCATTCTCCTTCTCCATCTTTTTGCCTTTGTAGCAATTTCGAGCAAAATGGCCTACTTTGCTACAAATGAAGCAAGATTTGACATTATTTCATTGATTTGAATAGTTGCCCTTGTCTTGACGTGAGTAGAGTCCTGAATCTTCACTTTAGGACTCTTTTTCTTTTTCTTGGTTATTTCATAGACAAGTCTTGCCGTTATATAGTCCATTGTAAGCTCTTTTAGCTTAATGGACTCCAATGCCACAATGAGGTAGTTATAGGATTCGGAAAGGCTCATCAACAAGATCATGACAATATCACTTTCTTCTAAAGGCTTGTCAATAATTGCTAGTTGATTTACAAGAGCCTTTATCTTTTTGACATGAGCCATGAGGTCTTCACCTTCTTCCATCTTGCAAGTGAAGAACTTCGTCCTTGTATAAATGATGTTGGAAAAGTTCTTCCTCTCATAGATGTTATAAAGAATCTTCAATGATTCTACTAGTACTTTGGAAGAGATAATGTGGAAGAAGTTGGCTTCATCAACATTGATTGTAATCAATCCTAAAGCCTTCTTTTCAAAACATTTTAACTCCTTCTTCTCCTTCATATCAACATCTATACTTAGAACCTCTTCACTTTCATCTATAATATTCCAAAGATCCAAAGACACCAACAAAAGTTCCATTTTTAGCTTTTAATGGTAGAAATTCTTACCTCTGAACTTCTCAATAACTCTCAATCCTTTACCTTCACATGAAGCCATATCAAAAGGAGAGATTTATCAAAAAAATTTGAAACAAGAAGTCTTAATGCTCTCAAAATCTGCTAGAAAGTATTATTGCTTTAAAATCACAGAATCCTTCTTTGTAAATAAGCTATTATTTTTACTCTCAAAAACACTCTCAACTTCACTTCTAAGGCTTTTCACAAGTCTAATGACCTATCTTAATGTCTCAAATTTGACTTGCCACTCAAATATCACTCTTATGCTCACAAATCACTTCTATATACCATAAGAGGCGTTTTAAGTACAATCAGCATTTTTAGGACATCAAACTACAAAGTTAGACCACCAAGGATCTATCTCAGCAATAGCACAATGCAAGTATTCTATAACTTTGCTTTAAGGTGAAAAAAAAAACACCTACACCAAAATGCTCTTAACCACAAGTAAGAGCAAACTAAGATCTAGATTTAGATCTAAATCTGAAAGTTAGATACTTCTAAACCCTAATATCAACAACAACAACTTGATCTACTCCACACATCAATAACCACTTCAAAGAACTTCAAAACACTCAAATAAATGTGAGTGGGTGCATAATCTATTGAAGAAAAGAAGTCTAAAAGCTACAAACACTTAGCATCAACAAGGTTTATACACAAAGAGAAGTACGGAATAAGATGATTCTTACTTCCAACACCTTTTACTTATAGGTGGAGGTTTGCTAACCAATAAGACAACTTCCATCTTTTTGATATTACATCCATTTCTACTTCATCTAACTAAATCTTAGGTTCTTTCTCAACCTAGCCACTACCTACAAACCCTTGGTGCCACCACAGTAACTTCTTTTTAATCTTTTCTGCCTTTTGACTATTAGCAACATACTATGCTTAATTTCTATGTGATTGTAACTAAACAAGTACTTACTAATCTTCAATAGTTCCTACTTAAAAAATAGATTTTGCATCTCTTTTTTGATAATTAGATTTTTTGTATAGAGTGCCAATATGTAAGGTTTATAATTTAATTTTGGCAACATGTTATGAAGAATTTGAGTTCCAAAATAATACTAACAATGACATCCTTAAGAAGATGGCCAAATTAAAAGAAAAAATGGAATTCTTTCAATATATGTAAGGTACTATATAGTAAGTAACCACCAAGATTAGATCAAGCAATTGCCTGTAGCAAAGTTTAGTTACAATAATATTCAAATTGTATCTTTAAAAAATACATCTTTTCAAGTGACTCATGGTTTTAATATACTTAGGCTAATTGACTTGATTAGAATTAGGCAAAGTCATGAAACTACTTCTAGCTTTTATTCAATAGAAAGAATAAGGTAGATAGCCAAAAAAAGGCCATAATACAAATTATCAAAGCTAAGTTTAAAATGGCTAAAAAAAGATACAAAAAATAAGTTGATAAATATAAGAAAAATATACAATATGCAAAAAGAAACAAAGTTGAATACAAGACTCTCTTACCTAGTACATTCTACTTCCAAGTGGATTCAAAAGTAGATAGGCCCTTATGAAATTGAAAGTGTTCTATACAAGAATATATATGCTTTGGATATATCAAAAAAATTGAAGTTGCATCTAATTTTATAGTGATTTGAAGGAGATAATTAAATGTGACAAATAAGATAAGAACGTCTTTATTCTAAAGTAAAAGAAGGTCACAATTCTATGTAACAAAAATAATAATAATAATAATAATATTAAAAATCTCTCTCTCTATGAACCAAAATATGAAGAATTCCAAAAAAACCAAATAGAAAATACATGTATAGAGTGAGAGAATTTTAAACTCGAAGAGATGAGTGTAGGGTGCCTTATATGGAGGCCTCCATAGCCCATCTCTCCCTTTTAGCTATTTGTAAATTAGGAGAAGTTGATGATCCTAAGAAACAATATCTTTGAATTGCAAGGCAACATAGAGTTGCGACACAATTGGATTTTGACTCCAAGATTTTTTGACTTGACTCCAAAGGGTACTTAAAGAAGGTTATTTAAGTTGTATTTTAAGTTAGAAGTAATATTCTTTGTAGAAATTATTAAGAATAAAAAGTGGCCAACTTTGAAGAGTGTTACAATAAGTAGGCAGCAAATTTGGTAGTCTTGTAGCAATATTGAAGTGCAAATTATTTGTCAGACTTTGAAATAAGGGCAAAAGATTAATCAAACCTTTTAATATCTATTGAATCTAGCAAATACCACTGAGAACTTATTGAGCAATCAAGAGTACAATACACAATATGTATGCTATTCATATAGACTATGGCAGAAGGGTGATGAAAAGAACATGACATGAAATACGAAGATGTCAAGAAGAAGAGGTATTGATGACTATAGAAGATAAGAAGGGGCTTAATTTATAAGAGCAATGTCAAGAATTCCATCCATAATTCAAAAACTTCATAACCTTGAGTACTAAAATGAAGTATAGAGATGGTGGCATGGTGGTGATGGCAACAAGGATCTAACAAGTTTATAGAGAGAATTGCGGTGTTTCTTTTTTTAATCAATAATGAGAAATACAAACCACAAGTAACATCAAATACCACAAGTTACATATTTAGGTAGAACAAAAAACATCCCAAGTATTTGATAGTGGTATCAATTGAGCAATGGTGGAGAATTTTAATACAATGGTATGTAATGTGGGAGAGAAAGAATTATAGAGATGTAGAAAAGTTGAGGTGAGACAAGTTGGGGGGAACTCATCATAATGTATACTTGTATTAGCAATGTAAAGGTTGAGCATCAAAGGCAAGGTATTTTTTTTTTTTTTTTTTTTTTGTTTAGAAGTGCCATGGTGGAAGAGAGGTGCTGGCAAAAACTTTGGAAGTCAAGGATAGAAATGGAAAAAAAATAAGCCAAAAAAGGATATACAATACAAAGCTTGGACTCTATCCCAATGCATAATTGGAAATTTCTTGATAAGTTATCATACATAGGAATAGATTTGATATTATGGCAAAACTAAGGAATATGAATGCTATTATTAAGAATACAGAGATATTCTTGATATTTCAAGAAATTTCAAGGATACTTTTGAAATTTTTCCTTTGTTTTATGATGTTGTAATTCAAAAACAATTCCTTGAATAAAACAAGATATCATTCAAATAAGAGAATAAAATAAATATAAAATAATCAAAAAGAATACTACAAATTAGATGTTAGTAGATAGATAATATATAGTAAATGGAAAAACCTATCATTGTAATAAAGATGAATATAAATTTTATTTGAAAATAAATCTTTTATTTGTTCCAAAATTTTGTGTCTACTAAGTTAGAAGCTTTTCAAGTTTTAGTTTAGTCAAAACTAAGTCAAAACAAGACACCTTTGTGAAAAAAATAAGAACAAAAAATGATAATATATAACCTTATACTAAGATAGTTACAAGTGCTTATACCTGAATAGTTTGTAATCAAGTTGGATATATAACAATTCCAGTTTGACATAAGAAAACACCAATGAATGACATAGGAACATGAATTGTGCCAAATTTACAAATAATAGCATTAGCAATGTAAAAAAAATTGTTTAGGTTACCTTTCCATCACTTCTAAACTTCAATATTTACTAATTAGTCAGGAACAATCCCACAATTCTCAATGCAGAGTTTCCAAAATCATGATTGTACCACGACTAGGCTGATGTGATATGGTCTTCTCCAAATAAGTTGTGAAATTCTTACGGGTTTGAAAGAGCTCCAATTTACTGAAATAACGTTTCATACACTCAGAATGTGCAGAAAACCAAACCCTTTACCTACTTCAGTGTAAGAATTTAAACACCATGCGATATACCTGGCCCAATTTGAACCTTTTTCTCTTTTACTAAATGCAAAGCTTCCGCTCACCAGTGTTACCAAATTTTCAGGACACCTTCTAATCTTCTAACTCAACCTTATACTGAATTACATCTCCTCAAACCCAATATTTCAACATACAAAAGAATAAAGGGGTAGGAAAAGAATCACTACGGCAGCTCCAGGTCAGGTAAATATAAAGCGACTGGAATTTCATCTGCAATTATCTGGAACACCATAATTCTTTAAAGGCTGCTTCATCTCGCTGCGCCATGTATCCGTGTGTAGTTTGTACTCTAACACCTGTCTCACCAAACCACAGTTGTTTAGTAGGATGCTTGTCGAGGCTATGCAAGGCGTAACCTCAAATTTCCTGAGAATCACAACTACCATCAAATTTCAGGACAACAAAATCCTTCTTACCAAGCTGGTATAGAAGATTTATGATGGAGATCTTCTGCCCAGAAACATTCTGAGCATCTCCACTAATGATGTAAAGGATTGCGCAGCTTTTCTGCGCTGAACTACTGATCAGAGAGAGAAAACCTGACATGAATGAATGTAGAGAATGCATCGTCGCCTGTAAGGGAGTTCTGTACACTGGCCCACAAATCTTCCTTGTTAAGCTTCAACTTTTGCCTGTTTGCCTCCAACTTTACTGCGTAGTGATACGTGAAACGCTGCCACAAACCTCGAACAACTGCTAACATGGAATCCACTTGTGCTTCATTTATGGCCTGCCATTACCCCAGATCCATCGAAAGACAAGTAAAAGAGATGCCAAGGCCGTGAATGCATCCAAACTCCAAACCTTTTCCTCTCCCCTCATCAACACAACGATGAAAATTGTAGGCAGTTAAATCATATAGCTACTACTAAGCATGACCAGCGGAACAGGTTAGGTTATAAACCTTGAGTATGGTGATGAGATTGTGAATGTTATCTTCAGCTACACGCACAGTGAAGCTCTCGTAATCCAAAACATTCTCGAACGGCAAATGAATACCATCCTGCACCAACTCCATCAAACAACGCCTAAATAATAGTTCTCTTCAAGCAGAGCAAACCAAACTAAAACCAAACTAAAATCGCTAGTTTTATATGCTAGAGCAACAGGACCAACTGAATCAACTGGATTTGAGAGTGCTGACAATGTGAGAATACCTGAATGATGACAGGAATACAACCACTCAAAATGCTGTCTTCCATGCGACCACTCCAGCCGTCCCCTGGTAATACGCCACAAAACCGAGACTTGGAAAGCTCAAGTTTATATTGTGGACTGCGTTGGGCCTGAACCACGACATCGTCTACTGCTTGCCGGCCTAATAATCCCTTCTTATTGGGCTGTGACCCAAACTCTGCTGCCAGCTTCTGCCTGATGCCCATACTGTAACTGTCATCATCAAACTAAGATCTCAAAGTCTAGTGTAGGCCATATGCAAGTCAGAAGCATATCACACCCAACATGCAATGAAGTTTCGGTATGTTAAGTAGTTACAACTACAAGCGACAGACCTCTGAATTTGTGATGGGGTAGAAATAAACATGTAAAGCTTCTGGCTTTTAAGTTACTAAACAAAGCGTTTACGTCGCTAGAGATCGGTGCTCAAAGAGGTGAAGGGGTTTTTACAGACAAGAACATTGCAATATGTGACTTAGTGAATGAGAATGGTGATGCAAAGACGTACCCAGGTTCGGGCCTACCATTATCGTAGGCACTCCCTAAATTGCCGTTGAAGTAAAATAATGTTGGCCGATCTTGACGATGTCTGTATCAAAAAAAAGATGTGTTCAAATTGAATGTGACTTCGCACATCATCTTGCTGGTATATTTGCAGAAGTTGCACATGTAGATATAAGATTTTTCTGTGCGATGCAGCAACCCTGCTTAGGGAATGCTGTACACTTCAAATAACGCGACGATGGTCGGAAGAGGTTTGGAAAAGTCTGTACCTAGACGAGAGGTTCTGAACGATCGGATAAGGATCTGGAAATTTCCACGCTGGTAGGACAAGATCTTTTGCAGGATCGTAGCAAGGATGATCGCCACGCCACTCTGGTGGAATAAGATCCCAGTTATCAGCACGATATGCGGTAGTCGAAGCCTTATGCTTTGCATTTGTGTTGCCCCAATGGGATAACATCATGCTGTTCCATATCTCTTTTGGCGCCGAGCATGCACCTTCATCCCATGGGAAAAACTGGTGTACCAGACACAAGCAAACGTTCTTGTTCGTCAGCAGGAAGAGAAGTCCAGGATAAGCACATTCATGTGTCGAACAAATCTACTACAAGAATTCAGCACACAAGGATACGGATACGGTCATTGAAAGGAACAAGACTATCAAGAATATTCGTACACCGGGAGGCGTACCCAGATGTGATCACGTCCTGCAGAACGATTCCAGTAAGGATAATTCTGTTGTATATGAAAATAAATTTGCTTGCTATAGTCTCCAGCAAAGTATTGTCTTAAACCCATATATTTCCCCTGCAAATGAGATTTACAATTCAAAATAGCACCCCAAGATAGGACATGGCATGAAATAAACCTGCGAAGGCTTCACTTAAATGAAGGCAATCCGAACCCGCACACACTAGACCTAACCACTAGCACTTCATTCAAACAAGCTGGACATATATTGAATGGATAGAGTCGTAATACATACAAAAGACAGCCCTCTACAACTACGAAAGAATTGACGCCAGAAAGAACCTGGAAAGTCAAGTGGGGAGCGGCATCTCCTTGCTCAACAATGCAGGCCTGTAAGAAAGGAACGTAGAAAAAGTCTGCCTCATCTCCGTTGGTGGTTCGATGCTCGCTTGCAAGAAGACTCTCATATAATGCAATCTGTGAGAAAACCAACTCACTCAGAATTTTTTTACCTCTACCAGTTGCACAAAAATCTCTAGGCAGGCAGAGGACACCAATATTGTTTCAGTTTCTTGCTTACAACCAAAATTTCAACGAAATAACGACTTCTAACATCAGAAGCACTACAGAGAAATAGGAAACACCGTGCACGTACCCCTGCACCGTAAAGATTCTCTGTCCATATGGTAGCATTATCGACATCATAGAGCCGGTTAACACACTCAAATTTGAAGTGCCTTCCCTGCAAAGCAGTTGATTTTATATCAGTTTGAAAGAGCACATATTTTTAACCACCTATACAATTCCAGATTTCAAGATGAATGGTTTGAAGTTCCTCAAACCCAGATATGCTCAAGATATTGAGCTTCATATTCAACCGTTTATAATTTTGTACCTCTGAATAAAACTCAGCCAAAAGGTGAAACATTTCCTGGTCAACTGTTATGGTCATCTTGAAAATACAAAGACTGGTGCAAACCCAAAAATTCAAAACGCTCAAATTGTTGTGATATCCACACACGTGTAACTTGAAGAAAGATGTATGTCTACCTGAAGAAATTGAGTGGTAAATTCAGCAGGAAGGTCGTATACGTAAACCAAAGGACGTTTTTTCATTATGTTTGAAGCTACTGAGATTCGATTTGTCTCGTCTGAAACATCAGGAGCAGCTTCTTGAGGTAGCCACTTCGGACGTTGCACAGGTGGAGGTAAGTAGGAGGGCACACTACAATCAACGCCATACCAGCCTTTTCTGCACTGCACGATCCACGAAAAGCTGCAGGTTACTAAACCAGCGTAGAACATTCGAAGACCTACCAACATTCCTGATTCTTTCAAATCACTCGAACATACAGAACTTTTGAAACCATTGATCTGCTTCGCAACTACACAATGAAATCGTGAAAGTAGATTCTATTTGGAAATTCACAAAAATAACAGGTGATTAAACGATGGAAAGGTGAAGAAACTAACTGCACAGAAGCCCTGATGACAAATCCCGTTAAGGTTACACTGATTGATGCAAAAACTTTCGGAAGGACTTTCACAAACTACTCCCCACTGACCATCATACTTGCAATCGCATTGAGGTAACTTGACACGAATGTTCTTGTCATGCACATCTTCTGCATCAAGATTACACCAGCCCTGGTAGCTTTTATTCCCATATATATAGTCCGTATCAGCTTTTGTCCAATCAATTTCCCCTGTGTTCCCCCTGCGATTCAAAGAAAGCCCACTATGTCATTCGACTTCGTCAGAGTGCCCTAAAATGTCGCCTACAATGTCAAGATCTGATTATGATGGAGGGATTCATAATTCTACAGAAAAAGCTGTCTACTATGAAAAACCTTGACATGCATTTAAATCGAGGTTCCTGTTCGGTCCCCGCGATTGTAAGCTTCAAATTCTTCAAGTTATTGGATATCCTGATGGTAAGCTGAAGGGGCTGACCACCTACAAATACCAATTTCATTTGGGAAACAAAGGATGAAGCACAAGATTGCCTACTTGGAATGAAATCCACAGGCTTCAGCTAACGGTCGGTCGGGGTATTTAGTGGTATTACCGCACAGACAGTGCGCTGTGCGTTTGTCACAAAACCCCGGACAAACAGATACGCCCCAGGAACCATAGGGCTGCTCGTCAGTAACACCCTTGTTGCACTTCCGATTGATTACCTTTTCGCAGCCTACTCCTGCCAACATCAATGATTAATGATGTCAGCAAAAGCATAATGCGATGTAGCATCATTATCGTGGCAAAATTAACTGAAAAATCTCAGATGACTCAAATTCGCACCGGGCCTTGGCTTAGAAGTGTTCGATCCAGTCCAATTTCTCAAAAGTTAGAGGTCACTAGAGTTTACTCTCCCTACTCTAACCACTATCAAGTGCACTCGTTTTCTTGACTTGAATATTGCTTCTACGAAGTCGATCCAAGAATGAATGGCAACAAAGTAAAGAAGCAAATTGCAGTGCTACCATAATAGTTAAAGCCCAACAAACCTGAAAAGCCCACAGAGCATCGACATTGTGCAAGCTCCTTGTTGCAAACACCACGGCCATCGCACTCAAAAGTGCAACTGTTTCTCCAAAACTTCTGTACCACCGAAGGCCAGCAGCGTTAGTCCGATCCTCAACATTTAATGCTGAAAAATTCGTTCAACCGGTAAGAGTCGACTGGTTAATACTGCAAGTAATTCTCAAATGCTACAAAAAAATAAACCTGATTCATGTAAGGCTCAAAAGTAAGAAAAAGTAGTTCACAAGTAAAGAAATTTCCGACACTCACTTCCACAACAGGAATTGGGAAAGAGGAATTCCCACATTGCGATAGCCAACAACCCACATCTGCCTTCCAAGTCGCATTACGATAAACAACTGCTCCGTGCTCCTTTTCGCATGATCGATCTCGCTCAGCATTCCATTCGTATGTGCCATTGATACGATGAATGACTAGCGCATTTGGATCCACAGAAAAGGTGGGCACAAGAGGTGTTACAAACAAATGCGTCGCCACAACGAGCACAACTAAAGAGAGTCCTGGCACCACTACCTGCCATGACCACCAGTGGATACCCATTCTGCTTCGGCTTCCTCCTCTGCATGCTGGACAAGCTCACCCCAATGATGTCGCCAAGATTTGCAGCTCGATCACCTCAGTAAGCCATTGAAACCTATCTAGGGCACTACGTGACTCGTGAAACGACTCCAAAGCAGCTAGCGGCTCCGACAACCCGAACGAATCTAAATAATGCTGATCAAATATAGAGATACCATAAATTCAGTTTTGTAAGATCTAAAAACTTGACTAAAGCAGTGAAGAATCTCCAATTTGACAACTACTACTCTCAAGCGGTTAAGGATACAGAAGTTTCCATAGACCGATTTTCCAACCATTCAAAAGAAATACCCACGATGACAAATCAGATTGCCAAACAAAAGATGAGACAATATTGAAGCAGAACAAGAAGTTGATAATTTGAAACTCTAACTTAATCCACGAGAAGAGACAGAGGAACGTGCGCAGAATTCGGAAAGCAGAACAGAATATAAAACATATATGTAAAACAAAAAAAAATAAAAAGTGCAAAGCTGCAAAGCTGCAAAGGATAGAGAAGGTCTCAAGTACCGCCGCGAAAGTATCACACAAGTATCCGCTGAAGATTTCAGTTCGCAGCAGAAAATGGAAACAGCCGGATGAGAGGAGAAAGTGCTTACGTGCGGTGTGACGAGAAGCGGGAGAAGCCGAATCCAAGAGGAAAAGTGAGTGTTACATGAGGATGGGAAGGGAAGAGCGCAGGGTAGAGTGTAGTCTCTTTTACGCCCATTTTTTTTGTTTTGATGATGTTGGTATGTGAGGGAGACAGCTAGTGATTCCCAGTGCTTCCCCGTGCACGGCGCCCTGGAGGGAGGGGGGAGGGGGGCTCTTCTCAATGTCCTGCTGGAAGCCTCATGTCCCCTCCCCTCCCTTCCCCTCATGTCCCTTCTCCTCCCTTCTCCTCATGTCGGTGATGGATCATGGTATGAGAAGCTACGAGCATGATGAGGAAGAGGCGATAGATCCCTTCTTCCCTCTCTCCTATTCTTTGCTCACCACCCCCTCCTTCTTTCCATTCTTGCCATCTTTCTTCCTTCTTTATTAAACATTCTTTTCATCTTTCTTTCCTCTTTATTAAACATTCTTTTCATCTTTCTTCTCTCTTTATTAAATATTCTTTTCCAACTAGTAATTGATACAATACTTTTATTTTGATAAAATATTAATATATACATATAATAAAAATAACCAAAATAAGAAACATCCAATTTTCTACAAAAAAAAGATAAAAAACCATATAATAAAAGTATAAAAAGCATAATAAAATCTAATAAATTGCCATTAAACACAATAACATTCAATACAATATACCTATCATGCACATAAATATTAATATTAGTAAAGATGAGTTAGATAGAAATAAGTAAATTTGATAATATCTTTTAAAAAAGCTTTTTAAGAATTTTTTAAAATGGATTTGACTTTATGTCAAAGCCACAAATTAGAAGAAGATACATAAACTCGTGGAATCTATGTCAAAAGAAAAGTGACAAAATAAAAGAAAGTATGTATATTCAAGGAAGAATTGGAATGGCTATTACCAAAGACTAGAAAACATAAGACTCTTGAAACTAGACTAAAAGCAAGAAAAGAATTGATAAGACTGAGGAAGGCCTCACTCTTGCCTCTATACATACTACTTAACTAAGAAATATGTGGCGACATGCTATAGAACCTCTAATACTCATCCAACTTGCAAGACACATGTCTAATTTGCAACGCAAGTTTCTTAGGTGTATGCCATATGTCTAACTTGTACTACAAGTGATCAACATTTCAACACATGGCTTCTTTATTGGCCAAGTTTTTAACCTATCAATCACTTATAGACATGTATAAAAACAAAGCAATGTCCATGAAGTTTTTAGGAAGCTTTCTACAATATATTATCATATTTATCTACTTCGACTTACTTCTACCTATTCTTATTATTTAGATAATTATCAAGATAAATATGTATGTTTGTGACATTATTCTCCTCTTCGTCTAGGAACGAATTCCACTAGGAATGGTGATTACATGTTGATGAAGTCTAAGATGCACCAAATTATATTTGCTATATACTTTGATCTTTATACCTTTTGAATGTAGTTGATAGGTCCCTTCAACCATGAATAATATCTCATATCAAGGTAAGAAGACCACCTTGATATTTAATCATTATTAAGGCCTTTATAACTTCATTTAAACAAAACATTAGTAATATCATCAAGAGTGGTTCCTACCTCCAAAAGTATCACTAAACATTGGGAGTCTCTTCCAAGGTCATGGTATCAAATGCATTATATCTTGCCATCTATTCAAAGAAAAACATATCATTCTTGTTGATCTTCATCTTGATTTTGCCATCTCAAAGGTTATGATAGTCGCAATATCTTGTCTAATAGCTCAGCAGATGATAGCTCTTAAATTCATGGTTTTCCATCTCCTAAGCACTAAAAAATACAAAGAAAAAATCACACACGATAGAATGAAATCTCTATTGAGCTTGCTTTGCTTTATAGAAAAGAATTTCTTGACTCTTTATCTTAGTTTTGATGGATGTTATTGATGAAACACTTTAACTTTACTTGATTCATTTGCTAGAATCCTAAATGGCTCTCATGTGCATTCATTAATGTCATATCCATGCCAATATACCAAATATTCTAACCTATTTCAGTATCGCCTTGAATCTAAGACTTCTTCTACCTCAAATTCTTTATTATAATCCACTTCTATATGAAATGGTGGCATTTGTCTCCTTTCTTGTATATCCATTGTTTTATATGGCTCAAGTAAAGATACATAGAACACAAGATCAATTTTCATAGACTCTAGTAGGTATAATCAATAAGCAATTGGATTGATCTATTCACAAATGAAAAATGGTCCAAACCTACAATAATCCAGCTTGTTACAAGGACAAATAGTTTTAATATTATGACAAAGTAACCATACCTTATCTCCCTCATGGAATTGAAGTTGTTCCTTGCGATAGACATCTGCGTTGGCTTTTTGTCATTCTTGAGCTTCTTTTAATTATGCATTTATTATTGTATGTAACTTTGACAATTAATTTGTCACATCTTTCATTCTAGGATTATCAACTTTTAAAAAATCAAAAGTATCAAATTGTGTATGATAACTATAATTGGAAAAAAAAAGTATTTATTGAATAAAAGAATGTACCAAATTATTGTAAGCAAACTTTGCCAATGGCAAAAGAGTTGTCCAATCATCTTGTTGATAGTTGATAGTATACTTCAAATACTGTTCTAAAACTTGATTTATATGTTCTATTTGTCTATCAATTTGAGGGTGGAAAGTCAAAGATAGTTTTATATCAACCTTCAATATCTTCAAAATAAGTTCTCCAAAATCTCAATAAAAATCATGTTCTTTTATCTGCTATTATATCCCTTGATAATCCATGATAATGATAGATGTTGTCAAAGAAAAGTTTAACTGTTCTTTCACTTGTAATAGATTTTGTACATGGTAAAAAATGTGCCATCTTCACAAAACAATCTACAATCACGAATATAGAATTACATGAACTTGAAATTGAAAGATCCTTGATTCAAACAAATAGAGGACTATGATTTTTTTGGTATAGATAATGGTTGGAGGAGTCCATAAGGTTGATGACGGGGAGTTTTTGATCTTAAACAAATGTCACATATTTGCACAAATTCTTTAACAGCCTTCCACATTTGATGCCCCTAAAAAATTTTAAATATAAGCTCGAAAGTCTTATTATATCCAAAATATTCTGTTGTAGGAAAATTGTGACGAGCTTCAAGAGCATGTAATCGTACTTTTCTTTTTAAAACATATAAGCATCCTTCAAAATGGAGTAGGTTCTATTGAAGAAAAGAAGTCTAAAAGCTACAAACACTTAGCATTAGCAAGGATTGTACTGTAAGAGAAGTAGAGAAAGATAATTCTTACTTCCAACACTCTTTACTTATAGGTGGTGGTTTGCCCACCAACGAGGTAACTTCCATCCATTTGATATTACATCCATTTCTACCTCATCTTACTAAAGCCTCAGTAGTACTACAATAACTTATTTTATCTCTTTACTATATTTTTGCTATTAGCAACATACTATGCTTAAACTTTATGTGGTTGTAACTAAACAAGTACTTGTTGTTCTTCAATACTCTCACTTTGTTAATAGTCAAAAGGCTTTTAATCCTAATCTCTTAATCAAGTCATGATGTCTATCCTTCACTAATGTCTTTGTAAGCACATCAGCAAGCATGTCATTTGTAGCACAATACTTCATACCTATTATTCCATCTTCAATCTTCTCTCTTATGAAATGATGTTTAACATCAATGTGCTTGGTCCTTGAGTGATGTTTTAGATTCTTGGAAATTCTCATATACCATTGTCTATAAGAGATTGGTACTCTTCTTCCATAGCTTTCTCTCACTTGATTGCATCTTCACACTTCATACCATTACACAAAGATAATGGATCAGCAAGAGGAGCAACATTTGCATGTTCTTTACTTTGAGGAAAGATGTGATCCTTCCACCATTCGCCATGTTGCCTTCTTTCTCCCAAAGGATATCTCCTTTCACTTGTAGAAGAACATTCGCCTTCTTGCACTCCTTGTTCTTTTTCAACTCTTAAACCTTGTCGTTTTTCACTCAATGATTGGTACTTTTCATCATTATCATCATCCCAATCATCAACATCTTCATTTCTTTCATTGCTGGTCCTAGAAATTGTAAGAGCCTTCATCTTTTCAACCTTCTTTGGCTTTTCATCTTCATCATCTTCATTATCTTTATCTTCTTTTTTCTTTGCTGAATTCAAAGATGTGTCCACAAACACACCATTACTCCCACTTGGACACATCTCTAAGTGCTCACAAGCACTCTTATGCTCTAAAAATTCAACATCACAACTTTTGATGATCTTCTTGGTTTTCAAGCATATTAGCCTATATGCCTTAGTACCTTCACAATAACTAAGAAACACACACTTTGTACCTTTGCATCAAGTTTGGACCTCATACAATCTGGTGTTTTTGTATATGCAATGCAACCAAAGGTCCTCATATGGGAAATGTAAGGTTGTCTCCCACTCCAAGCTTCTTGTGGTATCATTGATGCAAGAGTACTTATTAGACATCTATTTCTTATATATACACCATTCACCATAGCTTCCGTCTAAAACTCATAGCCAAGGTTTTGAGCATGAAGCGTGCTCCTTACCATCTCTACAATGGTTCGATATTTCCTTTCAGCAACATCATTTTGTTGTGGAGTGTATGGAATTGTTGTTTGTCTAGCAATTCTTTCATTCTTCAAATAAACATCAAATTGTTTAGACATGTACTCAACTCTATTATCCAATGTCGTAGTATAAATGCTTATAATATGTAAAAATTAGTTAGAATACATTAAATGTTACTAAATCTAAATGTATGTTAGAGTGGATAATAGATTAAATTAAAAAGAGTTGGTATTAAAAAAAAAAAAAAAAAAAAAAAAAACTTTATTTTATTTTCCTTATTTAGTTTAATTATAGTATATAAAAGTTATAGAACCTTAATGTTAAGTATGAAGCCTTGAAAGGAGATAGGGGCCTAAAGATGAAGATTTAAACTAATAGGAGGTTAATCAGGAGGGATGAAACCAAGGCATGGTTGGATGAAGGTAGAAATAAGGATCTTCATTCCCATTGGTCGAAATCCATGCCCAATGGGCTTTTAGGAGGCT